CCTTTTAATCGTATATTTAGAGTCAGAGCGTAGGATCGCGGTTAATTTTCCGCTGTATTATTATTATTATAATTTTATTTTAAATAATGTTTATTGATTAATTCCCTCTTGTGATGATAATATTCATTGTTTTTGGTGTATACATTACCAAATACTGAGGAACATAAATAAGTTTTTTTTAATTTATTTATTGTTTTTTTTATTGTTGATAAACTCTTGATACCTTGCAGGAATATAATAAATGAATTATTTATCTCCTCTCATCTTTATTACATTTTCTAATTGAATATGATAATTAGGTAGCAAGATTTTTATTACGATGTATCATAACCACTTTTTGGATCCTTTCCATAAAAACATTTCATCAAGAAGTGAAAGTTCTAAAAAGAACATAGTATATTATTTTTCTATTAAAAAATATTTTGTGACTGGCAAAGCATTTTGGCCTGATAATTGTAAATTACTGTACCGACGTAAAGAGCACGAGCAGGTCTGATTTTTACGTTATCTCCGAGAAATATTTTGTTGTTTCCATTTTTTTTTTTTTTTTGCTTTATATTAGATTAAATGCCGTTGGAAAAGAAACGTAATATTATGTTTATCACTTTAAACTTAAAAAATATTAGCACTCATTGGGCACATAATTTTTAATTAGCTGGTTTCGAAATGTTAACACGACTCAAAGTACTCAGAATTTCTAAACGACCAAATATATTTTATTGCATTTTGCGACCTTGCATAAATACTTGTTAGAAATTCGTTCCAATGTGTTTAAAAGAATCAACAATAGATTTTTCTCTAACGACAAGAAGTATGTCGAATCAAACTTTAGAAAATACTCCTTTTTTCCTTAACGTACTTTTTAAACGCTTGTTATATAATTACATGTCTAAATTAAACGCTCAAATTATCTCATTCTTATGTTATTAAACGGTAAAATGTTTATCGGCTAAAAACCCATGGCGAAGATTGATTTTTCTCTTATTTTCAACTTCCTCTCACAATATACTTCAACAACAACGTTCCTATCACTAAACCCGACTACGTTCGATACCTAGGTTCAACCTTGGCTCACACTTCATGGTAGGTAATTCTTATATATTTTATTATTTCTAATGAGAGTGCCCTCAACACGACACACAATAATGAAACTTCTACACAGAAAACAAACACTTTGAGCTCTGAAGATGTTTTCAATAAAGAGCGAAACGTTGGCACGACAAAGAAAATGTTTTTCTAAAACCTACGTCACACCAGACCGTATCTCACGATCTTGAAATAATCATTAACTAACGGTCACTAAACATCACACATTTTATTTTTAGATTAAACTTTTTGGACGTTTCGCGAATTCACACCCATCATCAGGATCTTACTGTTATTTATTTTTATTATCTTTGTTATGTTATTTATTTTATTTTCTTATTTATTTTTTTATTGAATGTTTCATTATACACTGACAGGCAAAAAATTTCACCCACTTGTAAAATACAACTTGATCTGTATATATTTTTATATATTGATCATAGTTTCACGATTTTTAAAATTTAATAATTGAGTATTTGTCTAAAAAAATAAATTGATAAGGAAAATTAAAAATTAAAAAAAAGGACAGATAAAATTTGTTTTAATTAGATTTCTTGTTAACATTTCAATATCGCGTATTTCCTCTTCGTGCCTTAATTACATCTCGAAAACATCTCGGCATACTTTCTACCAGTCTGGAAATGTCTCTTTGCTGGAGAACTTATGGCCGTGCTCTTATCCGTCTTCTGAGGCTATTCCATAAATGTTCGATGGGGTTCAAGTCTGAAGAACAGGCTGGCCAGACTAAAACCGTTATGTTATGCTGTTGAAGGTACCTTCGTACTATGCGAGTGACATGTGGATGAGCATTATCGTGCATTAGACTAGGATTGTCGCTGATTTCATAGATGATAGGCAACGCATGATGTTCCAAAATTTCATCCACATGGTGATGAAACATCCACATGGTGGCCGTAAAAGCTCCTTAACCAAGAACTAACTCTGAGCGACTCTCCATTGAAATTCCCGCCCACACCATTCATTTCGCCTTCTCCACGCTCTTTCACGCCCATCTGGGGATCGTAGAACAAATCTACACTCATCTGTAAAAAGTACAGCAGTCCATTCGTCCAAAGACCAATGTCTGTGTTCTCCAACATATGCAAGCAGTGCAACTCCGTGGGTTTAGGTCAATTCTAGTCCTCTTACGGGGCAAAAAGCCATCAGTTCACTTCTCCCAGCAGTGCTTCAGAAATTTTGAAACCTCGAACTTCCTGGAGCTGATCTTTGAACAACTGTAAGGTGCCGGTTTCGCAAATTTCTCAACGTCAAAACGTTCATCCTGTGGTTCTATTACCCTAGTACGTCCAGACCATCCATCATCAATAAATGCAAGCACAACATCCTCAGCATGAAGTGGCTTTTTTTTTTTTTTTTAATTGAAATTAAGAAAACAAAAATTAAAATTAAACAGTTTATTGCTTCCGAATTCAAATGAGACTGAATAAACATTTTAAATTCCATAAAAAGTAAACGTTAAAAAATCCTTTATCCTCGTTTTGGATTAAGGATTACGTGTGTTTACCTCTAATATTGATACTTCCAATTTAAAACAGAGCATAAACAAATATTTATTGGTACAAACAATGAAACTAATTAAGGGCAGATTTTTTCTTTTATCGAGAAAATGAAAAAATCAATTTGGTGGAATTTTTTGCCTGTCAGTGTATATAGTTTATTTTAAAAAATATATGGCCATTTTGCATCGACAAGCCGCATGGCGAAGATGACAATAATGTTTTGGATTATGTTTATCTTTTCGACCGATAACGTCATTGAATTATTATGTATCTTTGATGAGAACTTGTATACGATGGTATTAATAATAGTAATTTGCAACAGCTGACCCACGGTTTGCCCATGTTAGAGAGTTTGCTTGTCTTTTATGTTTAGTCCATTGAGTTTCTCTTAAGATATCACTTTTGTCCGAAATACAATCCCTATTTAGATATTTTCAATAAATAAGCTCATAATCATTTATTTTTCATTTTAATGTACAAAATCTATTTTTTTCTATTATTATTCTAAGATCGTGATGAATTTCGCGATTCTGTGCCTCGAGCCTACACCACAATTTTCTGGATGATTAATAATTCATTATTAATAATTTGCTAATAAGCGGCACGCTTTGTTAATTAGTAAAGCTGAAAAAATTAGCCATCACCATTACGTGTTAAAAAATAGAAGTAAAGCTATCAAGCTGTGTCGCGAAAACAACCAGGACTCGAATTTTCTGAAGATAAATATATATTAGTAAAATTATTTGCTGTATGTTCTATTCTGGAATGTATAACAGGGTGATAAACACGGCGTATTATTTATTCAACAGGCAAAACATCACAATTTTATGAAAACGGATTTTATTCCCTCCGAGTATTCTCCGTGACCATATTTACCATATTTCTATGCACGCACATGAAAATTTTAGCCTTTTATACATCTCTTCCCTTTTCAAAAACAAAACAAAAATTGGACAAAAATGCTACTAAAATAGGAAGAAGCCCATGGGCTTGTATACGCACATTTTTCCAACTGTAGAATACTTAAATCTTTCTAAATATGTAATGTAAAACTAGACATGTATCTATCTATACAGCCAACAGCTATATGTAAAGCCCACTACCAATCATTTCACTGAGTCCCAGGACACGCAGTAGTTGAGAAAAAATGAAGGAACGGATGCCATCGCAAGAAACGGAGCTGCCACATTGCGTACAATCCATACGATCAGTTTACAGTATAAAGTGAGAGCCGTGAGTGAGATCTCCCTAGATCCAGACTAATCTTTTTCCGTTGTTTAGAGGGAACGCAGTTACAAAATGCAGAAGTTGATACATAGACACTTACTTTTGAGCCAAAGCCCGCGTATTGTCCGGCATATATAGAAAGGTTGCTCGATATGTCTCACTTGATTGAAGGATGCTATTCAACTGTGTGAAGAATTGTGCTTGAGCACGGCAGCGGGTATCTGGGTCCCCTGTTCCTATTTTTAGATTATTTTTTATTGTATATAGTTTTTGTGTCCCTAGCATTTGTTGAGAGTGAATGTATTTATTAGAGTGAATGGGTGGGAGGAACGATGGCGGAATGTTGAGTTCGACCCTCAATTATGTTAGTTATACAATAAGTGTAAAGCGTGATGGGTCTATGGAGGAATATTGAATACTCCATCGCCCTAACTGAGTGAATGGTAGATAAATAGGAAGAATGTATTTAAAAGTGAATGGGAGAGTGGGTTTAGATTTAGGAACTGATTGCATTCGGTACTGAAATGACCTAGCTGTTAATAGCACTCGGCTGAGCCCAACCTCGGTGTCTGGACGGATAAGACCGAGGTCTGACCCTGGGCCCCAACACCCGGGGTGGTTAATTCTCGAGGCCTGCCGGTAATTTATGGTAAATTACAATAGCTCGAATTGCCGTCGGACTGCGAGAAGTGATGTGCTCAACTTTGTACATATGTGTGCACATGTATATGCATGTGCAGATTTGATCTTTCAGTTAATTATCAATCAGCAGTTTCAATAAATTAAGAAAAACACAATAACTAATATTCTTTATGAATATTTTCGTTGTTCATTTTTTTCTCGAGCACTAAACACTATGGGCGAATCTACCTTAGCTACTTTTTAATTTGGATATAGTAGGAAACCAGTAATGGCCCAATTTACGATTTGACTGCCCCACCGTCGGCATACAAGAGCAGGAGGTTCAACACTGAAGATAATTGAGCCGCCGATTCTGCATAGCGGAATAAATTTTGAGAAGCTGAGTTCTGAAATTTTATTTTTCAGCATCGTTAAAAGATTTTTAAGTTTAACTGCTAAAATAGACAGGTCTGTTAAGGTTTTCCATGTTAGACAGGTTTTTTTTTAAATGAGTTTATTTAACCTATTAATATAAATATAAAATTGAATAATCTTTTGTTATATACTTAGAAATATAAACATGCAATAAATCACTTTGTTTGCATCAGACTCGACATGTATTATGTACACACTTTATTAACAGTTCAGCTAAATAACACTGGGCTGCGATTAGCATTTTAAATTATATAAACTATAATTACAAATAAATTTACAAATAAATTAGAGATTAAGCAAGACGAAAAATAGGAAGGAATACTGGAAAAAATGAAGTACACACAAAGTTTAAAATTTAAATCACTCGGGCGTTTCTCTTATAAAAAATATGTAATATACATAAAAGTTTGTGTTCTTTTTTTTATGTGTGGACGTCATATAATGTATTGGAGAATCGGCGGTTTTTCATTTGCTGGCTAGTGGGCCCTGCCGCAGAGGCCGGCTTCGACAGAGCCGAGTTGGCCAAGATATGGGTAGCCGCTTTTCGCTTCACTCGGTGAATGGGCCGTCGTGTACATCTGGCCTGTTCCGCTCGCCGCCGCCGACGAAAAAAGACTGCAACAAACAAAAGCAAAAAAAGTTGAGACATTTAAATAAAACTATATTGGGTTGTCCTAAACAACATAAGGCAAAAACATGAATAATAATATCCATGGGCATCACCTTATCGGCAAAAGACCGAAGCGGTTCCCACTGTGGGGAAGCAGTCACTACAAAACATAATCTAACATTATATTGGACTGATTGAACAAATAACTTCTTTCAAGTAATTAACATTTTTAGGTAAAGTTTTTGGTGGATCAGTATTTGTTTATAAGTATGTCATGTTACAAAACAAACTAATATTAATATAATCCCTTTCTATTCGAACGAAATATATAAAGAATTGTCTAATTTCACGCCCATTACGGAGACAAGGAGACCTCCATGTTTGTGTTTGGACGTTAGGCATCGAATTGAAAATGGTTGATTTGTTCACGGGGCTAACCGAACTGACAAACAGTCTTGAAATCGAAAAGTAAATGTAGTTCAAAAAGGGAGTTTATTGATTTTAGTCGATTTCTCATCCGCACCGACTGCCGCTGGCTAACGGAGCAGCTGACAAATCACCATTGGCGCAACGCTCATTTTTTTTAAAGGGAAATTTCGACGAGAGTCGTGGCCTCGTTCGTTGACGTAATCGAATTGCACAAGTAACGTTTATAAGCCATGTATGCAAACCAGTGCGTATGCAAATATCCTTGCCCACGACTGAGCGATTTTCTATTTTCCCACAGCCAAAAGCGATCAAAAAGCCGATTCGGAGAAAGTCCGTCTGTTGTATTCCAGCTCGGCTCTGTGTCCAGAACGTACGACCACGGGAATGGAGGAACGGTTCGACGGAGACCACCGTTTAGGGAAAACGGACCGTGAAAAGGGCCGATCAACTAAGTGACCTCAGGGGCCGACTTTGATGTTTTAGAAACAATAGCTGCACACGTCTCTTACATAATGAATGAACCGACCACCTTCAGTTTAATGTCCACCTACACGATATCCGGACGAGAATCCATTCTGGCTGGCTAGTGTTTCACTGGGTATGGCGGCCACCCTCGGATTCTCCACCCCTAGGCCGCCCCTCTGACTCACCCGCCCTAATTTCCAACTCACCCCTCGGTTCACCCCAATCGCCATCGACCCGCAGTAACGATGCACGGATTTACATTGTTGGGACAAGGCTAACGATAGTTGACTATAACGACTTTGTGGTGACGATAACATTGAAATCAAACAACGCCAAAACAACAAAAAAATACCCACAAATCTATTTGCTTAAAGTGAGATAGAATAATAAGAGAATCGTTGGCTTTTATGTATAATTAAAATTATGACTATACCATTGAAACACTACACCCACCCAAGTTTCTATGAATATTTACGTACTACTGGTATAAATAGTAAAACTTGTTCACTAATGCTGTCTTTAGAGCGCATCCCGTTCAGGTCGGCTATCTGCAAACGCTACAACAAGCAAAATCACAAAAAAATTATAGTCTCACCCATGGCACAAAATAAACTAGAAAATATTAGGAATTCTTTAGTTTTTTCTATTTAATTCTATGGGTTTAGACTAGACGAAAGGTTTTCATTCACTCACGTTGGTTTGAGATCAAAAGAACACTTTTTAAGGGTTTTATCGTTGTTTAAAATGGATTGTTGAAATTTTCGTGGTAATGAACAAATAGTTTTGTCGTCGCCGAACATCCTGGTCCGCTTATCTTCGCATATTTGGTGCGCCGGCCCTTTTTTTCAATTTTTTTAATTTTTACGAAGCGTTCTAATATGGTAGAATTACTGAGGAAGGGAAAAAGTTAACAAAAGTTTGACAGGCAATTACAATTCAGACGGCTACACATACAAAAATATTTTCAACGCATCTACGATCCCGCGGCAAATACGGTTGAAAAAATAATTTTCACAATTTATTCAGCATCAAGCAGATACTGAAAAGTTAAACCTTTGGACCAACGTAGAATATACAGTGTACAATATTATATATTGTTTATTTGGTTGATCGTGAGATGCGGTCTGGTGTGACGTAGGTTTTAGAGAAACATTTTATTCATCGTGCCAACGTTTCTTTCTTTATTGAGATCATCTTCAGGGCTCAAAGTGTTTGTTTTCTGTATAGATGTGTCCTTCAATTTGAACTGGAAGTAAATGAAACTATCTAATATAATTTAATATGTTTAACATCTGTTTTACGCATTTTCACCAACGTTAGTTTTCCATATTGGATCTGAAAAGATTTGAGTCACACGATAAAACAAAATCAGTTTTTATTCTCTGTCAACAACCTTTCCTCAGTTAAGCTTGACCAATCACGGAAAACTCAAGTGTGTTTGGAATAATAACAATAGATTGTTATAACAAAAACAGAATGTCGTGTGGAAAAATCTAATATAAAGATTTAGATAATGTCGATATGGTGCAGGTCTTACATCCGGGTTACGGGTTCAATTAGCTGAAAGTTTTCTAATGCGGGTAGAACTTAAATTACACCAAAGGACGATAACACAGGATAGAATGTGGCCACTTGTTCACCGTCCGAAATGCCACAATTGGATGATATTATCCCAACGCATGTCCTGCTAAGGATGTTACGTACACAGGAATTGTCAGCACCTACATCACCTAACTAAATGATTTAGTAGATGATGGGGTTTGGCGAACTCATGTTGAACCGGCACACGGGCACTACTGGTTCTGTCTTCACTCGCGGGTTTTTTGTTTGAGTTATTCAAACGCGTTTCGGCATTACGCCATCTTCAGTGAAAAACTGTCAGCCATCTTCAGTCAGACAGTTTTTCACTGAAGATGACGTAATGCCGAAACGCGTTTGAATAACTCAAACAAAACACCCTCGAGTGAAGACAGACCCAGTAGTGCCCGTGTGCCGGTTCAACATAAATGATTTAGATTAGGGTCCCGCATGTTATGCCAGTCTAGCCTGGCAATAGGGAAAACCAGTAGTTTGGTCGTTTCTGATCATCTTGATAGGCATGTTCTCTTGTCTTTTGACTCTTAATTGTACTCTTTTGACAATCTTTACTTTTGTCTGTCAAACGCGTTTAAGCATATCACCACCTTAAACAGCGGACCAGAAACGGCCAGATTACAGGTTCACCGCCCAGCAGACTTCAGGAAACTTCTAGATTTTAATTGTTGAACCAGTTTACGTTAATGGAAGCTTTCAAGTGTTCCTATCAGACTATAAACGTACTTCGCTGAGTTTCGGGGTTAAAAAAACGTTTTGCCAAGCTCATGTGTCTTACTGTCTTAAGGTTTATTTTGATTTGTATCCAATTTAAAAAAGTAACTAATAACTAAAATGCAATCAAAGAAAATTATTATTTTTGCAGTTAGGTATATTACTTTTGGTAGAGCTGTGAAGTAATTTTTACTCAAACTATTATTGATCGCAATTGTTTTCTGTTTCTCACTGGGAGCGATTATAAATTTTGCCAGTGGGTGTTCGCGTTTCGAAAACCGAAATAGGTGAGATAGAATGAAGGGGGTTTCTCTAGATGGTCAGATTCGTAATTGATTTGGTTTTGGACAAATTCGCCTTTTTCCCCTGTTGACATATGGGTACGGATCGGGGACGGAGGAGGCTGGGAGGAGGTTTGCCGGCAGCATGGAGGAGGTGGGGCAGGTGTGGGAATAGACACGTATCGAGTTGATTGCATGCTTTTACCGATTCAACTCCTCCTGGCCTCTAATCATGTCCGGGCCGCCTCGAGGCACCTACACGCCTGCGACAAAATCAACCCCCCCCTCACTTCCTACAAACCATTATTGAACTATTTGCTGTCCATATTTCACGTACCGGGTGAAAACGGTACAATCGAAAACATAAAAATTGTTTCCCACCGGCGTCTTCCTCTTTTTGGACAACAGCCGTCTAAAATGGAAAATGGGGGTAGTCCTTTGGTCAATTTACAATATTTCTTACCCATCACTGCTTTATGAAACTTGTGAGTGAAAATTTATACACATTTTAAACTCAAGTTAACAAGGAGAAATTTGTACTAGAATTCAGGACATATCAGAATTGATAATCTATAAAAATATTTTGCCCAGTATATATCAGCAGGAGAAGGATGTCTTTTAAGAAGACATCACACGACACCTTACTAAAATCTTGACCGCGAGCATGGTCAAATAAATTATTCACGTCGAAACCCGCCTTTTGGTAAATGGCGAGTAAAGAAGTAAGATAATTTGGTTAACAGCTATTTCATCGTCGAGTTCACGGCTCTTAGGATGAAATTGTAATTCCCGAATGATCGTGCCAATTTTTTGTTGAAACACAATTTTTTCTCACCAAATCTTCACTTTAGTACGACGAATTGAGACTAAAAAAGTCGAGTTGGTCAAAGCTTAACAGATAAATTCCAAATCAAGTATATTTTCAGGAAGTATTATAACGATGAGAATTTGGCCTACTTCTTGTCCATTTATAATTTCTTTGGTTTTTACGGACTTCGCTCTCAGATCATAACTCAACTAACATGATCACGCCAATATTGTAGAAACACAACACATCTTCACTTTAGTACGAAGAATTTGAGGCTAAAAAAAGTCGAGTTGGTCAAAGCTTAACGGACAAATTCTAAATCAAGCACGCTTTCAGGACTTCTAATAACGAAGGATCGTTGGAGATTTTGGTCTTGCTTTTGTCCCTTGATATTTTCTTCGGTTTTGACACACTGGAACTTTGTTACGTGTAGTTCGTCATTCTTAGGTTAAGATGGAAATTACAGAACATACTTGATCATGTCAAGATTGAAGAAAAACTACCAAGAAGAATGTTGTGGTACACATTTTTATCATTGTTCTAGATCATTTTTTAATCTGTTTTAGAGTTTAATTATTTAATAGTTTAATCATATTTACATAGGCATGATTTAAAGGAGAAGAAATGAAGAAAATCAACGCGAACGAGCGGACCGTTGTTTTGCCAACCAGTTGCGTACCTGGCAAACCATTGCTTTTCACAGCATAATAATGATTTTTTTATGGGCCCATTTAGATTCGTTGAGATGTTTACAAGTTAAACTTAGAGTAAAAGTTCCATTACCAAGGGTAATGACATGGAAAGGATCCACGAAAAACCGAAAAGCCAGGATAATGGAATTTCTTTTTTAATGCGTTAATTAAAAGCTGAATTAAGAAGACACTTATAGATATATCACTTTTATTAATATGTATCTATCGGAAAAAAATCGATATGCTTTTTTCAAAAAAATCGTAAAAAAATTTCCAAAAGATAAATAGAAAAATGACTTTCACAGAATCGTTGACAGAACGATACTAAAGGCCTATGACTTATGAAACCTTATACCCTTCATCAAGCAGTTGTTTGCCTTGCCTTCTTGTACTCCAAATTACATGCTATATTTAAAAACACGTGTTGATCCCTTATTTCTGCACACGTTAAAGCTCCATTTTAAATATGTATACAAAACCCTAAAACTCCCTGGTCACCGCTACACGAAAATTCAGCTCAGGGATAATAAACAAAAATATTTTCTGGTATGAGCACTGGAGTTCCTTGTCAGATAGATATCCTTCTTTCCGATTCTCTCGAGACAACCTTTCTGAATGGATGGCAAAATTCCAGTGCATTCTTTCTAATATAAGGACTAACGATAACAAGAGGTTTTTGGAGCGAACGCTGATAACAGAGACACGCCTTTTGTACAAGAGGCTTGACCGAAATCTCTATGTGTTCTGCTTGATGAATGAGAATCATGGAAGAACACTAAAACTGAGGGATCTCTGCTGGCTCTTCAACCTCCGAGATGGACATCTGTTCCTTAACTCTACCCCCTTGACAGGTTGAGGGATACTCTGAGCAATACAAGGGAAAAGGAAACCATCGTGCACTTTTTGACTAAATGTACCATTTTGTCCGAGATGCGTGCTTCTTATTTGGGTAGTGCTATGCTCTCGGAAGAAAGTCTAGTCACACTTTTAAATGAGCCAAGCCTGCAGCTAATAAAATTCGCTCGCCACGCCTGGTTTTGCCGCTAGGACTGGTAGGACAAGAGTTCAATTTTTGATTTATTTGAAGAAATGTTTATTTAATTAGTGGTATATAAATCTATCTTGTTCTGTGTTCACCTGATTATTTTATTTTAATTTTATTTTATTAATTTTTTTTAAATTAATTAATTAATTTTTGGCTTTGGTTTTCTTTTTCTTTCTAATTATGTTATAAAACCCAGGGAATATTTTTATATTTTATTGGCCATTTTATCTTTTTTCAATATTTTATCAGTGGACGGATATTCCATTGCTGTAAATAATTGTTTTTTTAGTGAGGTTATTTTGTTATTTATAAAAATTTTTAAATAAAGTATTATTATTATCATTATTACTATTTCCCTGCAACAAGCTTCGAAAGCGGAGGTTTGTGTAAAGAGGGTGCGTCATTCTGGAACGACGTGCCTAATGGTGAAGGGTTTAGTACGTCGTGCCAGAACTACGGTTATAACGAATATGTTCATTGTAAAAAGACCGGTGGGAGTTTCATAGCAACTAGACAAAAGACGGTGTTCATTGAATCAGAAGTGATTTGTTGCCCTACGCGAAGTGTATATTGTACAAATACGGAGACCCAGGGCACAAATAATTAGATTCCGGGAAAATCGAATCCTTGATAATTGAGGTTTTACATTAAAAGACAATGGGATGCCTCTCGTCTGATGATCTGATCACCCTGATGCGTTTAAAAGTAAATTTGGTGTCAGTGGGAATTATCGGTGTCTTCTGTAACTCCTTTCACATTCTCGGTACCAAATTACGAGATCATGACTAGTCACCATTTAATTAACTTTTTCCCAGGTAGAAGGCATCTTTTCTACGGGTGTGGTCCGGGACGCGCTAAAGAACTCGACAGTTTTTGCCTCATTACACCTGTTGAAAACGGCTGTTCCTAATGGGCGCAGTCCTCTCTTTATTTCCTACTTTTTTGCGTTAGGTTTCTTCCGAATTTTTTTAACCCGCCCTACGGGACTGTCTCGGAACGGTATTCAGAATTCGACCGAGTCACCAAATTACAGGGGATCTCCAACCGGGGTGCACTCTTAATGGTACCGATCGATAGCTCGATTACCACTGGCGAAAATCCATTAGCGCAAGGAGCAGGTGATTCCTTCGAAAAAACCCTAAATATTTTATTCCAGCATGGTTTTTAATCGAATTGAAACGTGCGAGATGGACGGGCCGAAATTACCTCCGGCGGGTAAGCGCGTGCTTTATTAAACCCGAGAACACACGGACAAGAAAATAAAGTAAAAGCGGATATGATTAAACCTACCTGGGATTAAAATGTCCAGGCCTGCCTTTGAAAAACGCACAATTTTCTTAAGATTGAACGGAGACGAGAAATATTAACGTTTTACACGATATTCTGTTCACCAAAAAATCATGGCTTATGCCTAAAGAAACCTTGATGAATAAGAATTTTTAATAATATTCTTCTTTTCGTATTTCTAAGTTATACTGAGTTGCACACTCGACTAAAGGAAACTAGATTATAGTAGATGGTGTTAAAAAATTTTTTGTTGACCTCATCGATTGTTAGGCACCAATAGAAAATCTCTAGGCCCCGAACCCGGATCCTCAATAAATCCAAAACCTGGTGGAACAATACCCCAGACACGAAACACTCGAAGAGATCCATAGAAGTGCATGCTCTACAAAGGAATTATTGAAAGGTTATCGCAACAGAAGCAGGATTCTGGTTGGACTGCTGCAGGGCACTGCCACCTAAGACTACGTGGCACCGGATATGAGTACAGACAAGAAACACTGTTCGGATACTGCCAGAAAGAAGTCTCCTCTTCTTAACAGAATAGTAGTAGAACACGTTTTATGCTTTTATACGGCTTTAGGTGGAGATTCTTGCAACTAGAAGAGAAAGCCTCAAGCAAGATCTTACACTACAGCGTCAAGACTATGGCGGTTGATTAACAACCTGAAGATTTCCAGTGAATTATAAAAATGGAGTAGCACAATAGATCGACTCAGGTCGAGGTGTAGAAGGCCCTGTGGTACCTCTTTTATCGCCTATCCGTGGTCATCCCCTATCCGTGGTCATACAGACAAATCTGAATACCATCGATTCGTGCTTGTTTTGTCGTTATTTCTAAATTATCGACAATTTTTTCACAGTTTTATGCCAAATCGTGCTAATAGATGACTTTCCATGTTGTCTTTAAAAGTTTGATAATTTATTCTTGCATTTTATGACTGTTGTTAAGTATTTTTTTATATTTCCAATATTGCTTATTATAGTCTTTTAATATTTTGCTTTTTCGATATCGATTGAGACAGAATATTTCAGCGTACCCTGAAAATTCAATCGTGACCGTTGTTCCGACTACGGGCTTGATCTCAATGCTATTTTTTCTCGGCCATGATCTAAAGGATGTAAATGTATTCTAAATGTCATATTAATATGCGGTAGAGGAAATTCGGTTGTCCACATCGTTATTTCAGTCATGATTTAAAAATATGGAATACAAAGCCTGAGCAAGGTGATTCGTGTCGGTTTCTGCCACCGTTTCGCGATGCCGGTTTCTGGAATGTCTCAGGAGTACCACACGATTAACCGCCTTGGGGTGGATTTCTAACTCTGCGACATTGCTGTGTGTTCAGTGAAAAATGTAAAAGAAGGGAGATTTTTGAAGTCTTCCTCGTTCAAAGCTAAAATTTGTTTTCTCGACTTTGCTCAGTTTTTATTTCTCTTCAACATATGTCACACGTATAAGTTACACTCTTAACTTTTTATTTTTTACATCCGTTCAAAGAATGTTGGTATATAGGTATAATGGTGGATATCGTATATTCTGATAGATTGAGGCCATAAATAATCATTAAATATTACCTGTATGTATCCGCCCATGGTTCCGGTTTGGGTTGAGCGTGGGCGACCCGAGGAGGCCATGCCTGCGAGCACTGCGGCTGGTAGCCTTCCGGGTAGGTCGTGGTGGTGCTGCCGGTCGCTGCTGAATAGTAAGGCGCTTGCTGGCTCATCCATCCCGGCGATTGCCCTGGAAAAAAATTGTTTTTAATACATGTAAGAATTCAGAGAAAGGGCCAGGCCCGAACGATTTGAGAATAAAGGAAATAAAAAGGGCGATTCAGAATTGAAGGCTGTTGGTATCCGAAATGAAAGGGGAGTCGCAGTGCCAAAAATGTTATTGTTCCGAGAGTGAGATTGATACTCTGTTCGTAAAATAGCACGGTATTAACGGATGAAATGACTGGGTTGGACTCGCGACCATTAGATGCCTTCTATTAGGAAGGCGACCCATTATCTTGGAGGAAGAGGACGTGTCCTCCCACAGTCACGGACTGTTTTCCCTACAGCGCCGCCGCCGCATTGGGTCACATCTCGGTCAAAGGAGACGGTGAACCGTGCAGAAATAATTGTTCGACAGCGCATCCGGCATTCGCTCGAAAATTCATGTCCAATATGAAAACCAACAGAGCAAATTTCAATACAAATTCAGGTTAAAATTACATTTTATGTCCGTTGTGCCTTTTAAAGGATGCCTTTTATTTTAAATAATTGTCATGTGCAAAAAAAATTATGTTTAATTGAAATTCAATATCAATAACATACTTCCAAAACGTGAAAATTGCCTACAATTGAGATACATTCATAAAACTTTTCATTGAATCACACACCATTTGATAGTAAATAACAATATTGGAAAAAGTCTTAATTCTATACCATATAATAATCTAATTAATTTCCTTTCGTGCATGATGTTACTGCAAATTTTATAAAACCCTCCCAACCCCCATAAGCCAACAAATCGACCCAAAATCTCGCATCCCTTCTCGCCGACTGAAGAGGCGATGACCGCGAGATCTGCTAGGAAGTGATGGTGATGGTGGTGAAAGTGGAAATGACGTATTAATTAAACAGACAAATTTTAGCATCACTACAATACTACGAATGTTCATTTTTTTCTACGCTTATCTACAATGTTGCATATATATCCTTTCTCCTTCTTACATACTTACTATTTGAAGGTATTGTAATGTACTGCAAATTTAACGAAAAAAGACAATAAGCCGTAAATGAAGAAATAGATGACGAATTTGAATGAATGCTCTTTTTATACGAGCAGTAGACAAATTTCGTTTTTCTTCCGAGATTACTACCAATGATTATTTGGAGATCGTGAGATGCGGTCTGGTGTGACGTATGTTTGAGACAAAATTTTCTTTATCATGCCAACGTTTCGATCTTTATTGAGATCATCTTCAGGGCTCAAAGCGTTTGTTTTCCGTGTAGATGTGTCATTATTGTGTGCCCTGGGCACTCTCTACACGGCACACAAGAATGACATATCTACACGGAAAACAAACAATTTGAGCCCTGAAGATGATCTCAATAAAGATCGAAACGTTGGCATGATAAAGAAAATGTTTGTCAAAAACCTACGTCACACCAGACCGCATCTCACGATCTGCAAATAATCATTAACTAACCGTCACTAAACACCACACATTATTACTAATATTGTTAATTGTAACATTTCTGTTGGATGAGTGCAAAATGAATTACATCTATTGGTATTTTTACTTAGAAAATAATATATTTAAACTTTAAAAAATCTGAAAATTAGGCCAAATTCATCGGTAATCGTTAAATACATCGAATCTACTACAGCCGATGTAACTCATCTATCCAAAATTATCACATATTTATTTTATTTTTGTACCAAGACGGTTACTTCAAACCAAAGTCCTTTTGTACTTCGTTAAAACTTTTTTTTCGTTTTTTTTCTGTAACCAACGACAATTGTTAATTGTTATATTCTTGTTTTTACGAAAGAAATAGTCTTAATGGGAAAAATCTTGAATGTTTGTTGTTGGATAAAGTTGTCCATTAAAAAATATTTCAAAATGTTGCACAGTGATTTCCTTGGAAAAAACGGCCAGTAATTCAGATGACAAATTTTTTATTTATTTTCAAAATTAAAACGACCATATGGATATAATGAGTCTTCACTACCCAAAATTTGCAAATTAACAACGCTGTAATAAAAATGAATAACTAAAAGTAAAAACAGCAAACTGTAAGTATTGACGAAACACATTAATCAAAAGATATGAACAAAATAATATATTTCACTAATACACTGTTTTTGGATTTTGGTCGGTGAAATTATAATTTCATATATGTTTTTAAGGATTTTCTAGCACACTGCACTTAAAATCACAAAACCCTAAAAAACCAATTACCTATATAAAATAATATATTTGACTTCAAAAACTATTAAAGTTTGGATGTTGTATGGAGTGGATTATAAATAAAAAAACTTGTACGTCTTACGTAGAAATACGGTCAGGTTTGCCAGATTTAGAGACGGCTGTCAGATTTTGCTAATTTCTTAATTTTACAAGAATAATTACATTGACGATTGTTCCGCGATCTTTAATTTTTAAAAAATAAAATAAAAATAATAAAAAAACTTAGAAATACTGACGAAACTCATCAAGAACAAACAGATATATTTAAACTCACAAACTATTAAAGTTAGGATGTTGTATGCTGTAGATTACAAGTACAAAAAAAATTAAACCCCTTCAATTGAACCCAGCAAATCTACCGAAGAAACTCATTGATCCAGAGATACGAACAAAATAATATATTTTACTCAAAAACCATTACAATTTGGATCGATTGTTGGTCTGTTGTTTCCGCAGTTGAATACAAATATATTTAAGCCTTCCGGAGAAAAACAGTCAGGTTTGCCAGATCTTGAGACGATTGATGACAGATTTTTACAATTTCATAGGAATAATTACAGTGAAGTTCATTTTGATATATTGAGAATCACTGGTACCACCCAAGTATTTTTAATAAAAACAGCGCCATTAGCAGTATTAGAAAACAAATCTTTAACTGCTGACGAAACTCACTGATTCAAAATAGGAACAAACTAGTGTTTTAACTCCAAAATTATTTAAAGTTTGGCTAGATCGATGATGGACTTTTGCCGTATGCAGTTGAGAAAAAATAATTTAAATCCGTGAAAAAACAGTCAGCCAAATCTAGAGGAAACTGGTGTCAAATTTATATCATTTTAAATTTTTACAATTACGTTGACTGTCATTATGATATGGTGAGTCACACTGGAACCATTGACGGTCAAAAATAGAGACCTGCAGAATGAGTTAATCGACTCGGCAATCGTAATAAAATAGGAAATTTCTCACTTATGGCTAAATTCACCAAAGCTACGAACAAACCAATATATTTTAAACAAAAATTTCTCTAAAGTTTTGCTCAATCGATGGTCAGTCAAGTTTGCCAGATCTAGAGACGACTCAGGTCAGATTTAGATAATTTCAGAGTTACACAATTATATCGATGATCATTTTGATTTAGAGTAATACACTGATAACAGTATTATCCAAAAAACAGAAACAAACTGCATGATTTAAGCAACCCTGGTTTGCGCAGTGGCCTACCGTGTGATAAACCTATAGTTTGATAGTTGCCTATCATCTTGGTCCGCCTATCCTCGCTTATTTATGACAGTCAGACACGTTTCGGCGTTTCACAATTTTCATTGAGTGTTGTGAGAAATCAACTTGACAGTGAAAATGGGGAAATGCCGAAACGCGTCTGACTGACAAAAATCATCGAGTATAGGTAACTATCGTATAAATCTGTCACTACTGATGAAACCCACGGATCCAAAGCTATTGCACTTTATTAGGGATGGTGGATACTAAACGGTGTATTTTAACTTAGGAAATCTTAACAATAGAGATGGGCCACAACTATTAGCATAAATACAGATTATTTATATATAAGATAATAAGATTGATCTTATTCAGAATTCAGGGCTCGTATTGTATGTTATTTATGTCTTGTTTTATATGAGGTCAGCAAAACTGAAGTGTATCTACTGTTTTTAACTTAAATGCAAATCCATTATATTTAGTGGTCTGATTGACCAAATTACTTCTTTCAATTAATTAACATTATTAATTTAATTTTAACGGTTTTGGTTGAAAATGAAAAAGTTAGTCTCACGAGCGGGATTCGAACCCACGTCCTTTCGGCTTAAACCTTAAATGTCAATGTACTCTTCTTGCTTTGACAAGAGCCTTACGGAACACATGGATCCAAAGCTATTATACGTTTATTGTATTTATTATTAGTATTATTTATTATTTTTACGAACTAAACAGTATATTTTAACTTAGAAAAACTTAACGGTAGAGATGGGCCACAACTGTTAGCATAAATACAGATTGTTTATGTATATGTATTTATATGATTGATTTTATTCAAAATTCATGCCTCGTATGCTTTGTAATTTGCTAACTATCTTTATTTATGTCTTTTTTTACATGAGGTATGAGGTCAGGATGTACCTACAGTTTTTAACTTAAGTGTCAATGTACTTGCTTTGGCAAGAGCCTTACGGAGGAAGTGAATCTTATTTTGTAACCCCTTCTCGATATTCGTCGTCAGAAAGGGGTGCTCGTACACATCCAGGGAATAGAGTCGAACTTAAGTTTCTGCCATTTTGAAAGTGGCAGGAAGAAAGCGACGTTGACAGAGGGATAGATTGCAAGTGGAGGGGACCGGGGTAGAGTATAACGGATTCAAAATGGCCCCTATCAAAACAGTGGAGCCCTCCCCACGTGAAGGGGGAATTCGCCTTTCTCCGGGTGACTTTAACGGTTGCCTCGATATTCCCGACGGTACCTCCATCAGAAACCATTGAAAAAAATAATCGAGGAAAAACACGACCATCGGCCGGAAGACATGTTTAGAACAATTCTTACTAACATTAAAACTCAAAGACAAATATTTATAGAGACTTATAATCCAATGAAATATACTTGTATTGAATACTAATTTGTTGAATTCGTAAGGAGAGGTCAAGAATGAGGTAGTTTAAAAAAACACCTTTTTCATTATTTTGCCGACGTTTCGACCTTTATTCGGGTATATTTACATCTTAAATGTATTTTTCCAATTTTTGTAATTTACCCAGGCCCTGAAGATGAC